TCCCAGGAGCCCGCCGCCGCCGCCGCCGCGACATGAGTCAGGCTTTCTTCCTCCGCGCGCGGAGCCCTCCTCGCCTTCGCCGCACCTGGGCCAGCCCCCGGCCCGCGCCCGGGGCCACGATGATGCCCCGGCGCCGGGAGCCGCGGGGCCCCGGAAGGCGGGTGCGCTGCTCGCGATGGGGGCTGCCTTTTGTGCGGTGCCGTGTGGCTGCCATGCGGTCCGCTCGCCCCTCGACGGGCAGCGGCGAGCCGGCCGGGCGGACGATGCAGCTGCTGCACCGAACTGTCCACGCTCCTGCGTGGGCTCCTAGAGCGACTGCTTGCGACCGGTCCTTACCTGGACGCAGGAAGCCGCCCGGCCCAGGGAAACCGACCGACCTCAACAGGTGGAGCTCACCTCCGGCAGAGGTGTCTTTTCGTTCCATTGTCCGGGCTACAGACCCACAGATTTGACTGAAAAGGCAAAATGGCCTATTCAGGGGCGCAACAAGAGTGCAATAAGTGAAGACTACCTTTCAGGGTTAGAAAAGGGGGAAAAAAAAAAAAAAGCCATTGGCAATTCCAGCTTAAAAACAAAGGACCTGCCCCGGTCGGAGCGTAGTTCTGCAGAAGCAGTGTTAGGTTTGATTGGAGGCAATGTACTGGAAGTTGCTTCCCTGGCATTAACACGTCAAAACATTCCAGCTCTAAGCATTTTTTTTACGACTAAGCGAGAATGTATTTCTCGCCCAGTAATTAAAAAACAACAAAGTAATGTGGCAAACCCTAGGGAGAATTTATTTTTTTGAACCTAGGTGTTTGGGGGACTAAACGTTTACGGTTAGACCTGATTCGGGAACTCTCGCAGACTGACATCTCCATTACGATCCTATTTCAGGAGCTCGTTAAAGGATAAACGACGGGAGTCTTTTGCAGAGTTTTGATCGACGTCTAGTTGTCAATTCAACATGTCACCTTTAGGTTTCTCTATAAACGTTCTCCCTCGTTCCATCTCACAAAAATTGTCATCATTCTCCTATATGACTGAATAGAAATGCACCCTCAATATCTCATGTATATCTTGTATCAAAGCTATGATATACAGGTGCTTTTTCTGTGGTCTCCCCAACTAAGCCCAGAAAGCAGGACTACATTTTTTTTTAACTTTAAATCGCTAATGTGGAGTTCCGTGCCAGGTTCAAAATTTAGGTGCTCACAAATGTTTAAAGCGATATGGTAACAAAAATCAAATCCATTTGAAAAGATACTTGTCTTATGCTATCAATGAATTAATACGTGAATGGTTGTACGTTTGTATAACTATGACCATTCGTGTATTTTACAAAAATAATTTCTTTTTTAATACCCCCCAAAGTTTGTTTCAAATGATATGCCTATAATGGCTGCCATCCATTGTAGAAATGCAAATCTAGCATGGTTTTTAAACAGTTTTTGAATGGAAAGTACAAACTATCCTAACCAAGTGAAACTGCAATGTCATGTAGATAGAATTTTTTTCTTTTTTTCTTTTTTTTTTTTTTTGACCACAGTGTGAAAGAAAATGCTCTTGATCTTTCAAAATGGTGCCTTAGGTCAAGGTTTTAAATTACCCTAAACAAGAGTTGAGCACCCTTGAGGCACCTAAACACCGACACCCGCCCCCCCCATGATCCTGCTGATATGGTTAGGAGCAGAAGAAACACGAGTAACAAAGGCTCACCCAAAGTTGACCGAATGAGTTGTTGAATAACCCTATAAAAGCAGACACTTCATCTAATAACCAGGAGTAAATGGTATTGTGGTTTTTTCGCTGTTATGGTGTTGGGGTGGGTATATTATTTCTCTTGAAAGAAAGTTTTGTAAAAAAAAAAAAAAAAACTTCCAGGATAACATAAGATATAAGACAATATAGTCTTTTCAAATGTATTTCATTTTTGTCTGCTCTATCACTTTCAAATTCCTGTTTCAGCTCTATCCCATTCGACTAAGATAAAGAGCAACTTTGCAGTTATGGAAACTTGAATAGGAAAAACATCTATGTGTGTATGTGTGTATGCATGTACACACACTCAAAGCAAGCAGAAACAAACAAGTCTTATCATGGTACTACCTTTTAATTTAAAAAGTCTGGATTTTTTTTTACATTAATATTCAATCCCTACTGCTATGTATAATGAAGTCATAAATCTTTTGAACCCAATACTTAGGTTATCCTTTGCCTCTTGAAAGACTGAATTTCACCTGTTACATTTGGAAAGTGTAGCCCTGAATTACTCACTCTTGACTAAAGGATTAATTTGTAGTGCAGTATTCACTTAAATCTAGTTATTGGGACATTGCAAACCAGCACGTAGATTTGGTTGTATTTAGCGTTTTTTCTACCATAAAATAGAAAATTTGCTGACTATTATAACAATTTACCTATTTATGAGAACTGCGAAATAGGCCAGTATTTAAAGCCAAGTAATTCTCAACAAGTAACGCCCTCAAGAACCAGGAGGTAATACACTGAGAATGACTGAGTGGCAAAGAGAAACATGCAGAAAACATGCCACTGTCCCACTCCAGTAATTATTCCGGCTAACAAGCCCTTCAGTCATACAATATTCTTATCTGGAACTCTTAAATGTCATCTTTTTTAAAAAGTCAAATTTTTTTAACATGATGTTGAAGAACAAAAATTCGAAAGATCTAATTGTTTTGACCAAGCAGTTCACGAGTCAGGCATCATCTCATGCAGGAAGTAGAGAGGTTCTCCGAGAAGGTATACAGTATGGAAGGTTTTAAAGGCAGAAACCAGATGGACAGTTATAAGCAAAAGGAAAAGCAGTATTGTTTCAAGCAAGGTTGCCTTCCTGTAGGAGAAGGAGGGCTTCTTATCAGGCAGATGGCCTCAACTTCCTTGGGGTGGCAGGGGTGGAATAGAGATGATCACATGACAGATTACCTCGTTGGTACAGACCAGAAAATTACAGACTAGCTCATTAAGATTATATTCCCGGACAAGGCTGAAGCTGCAATTAGGTCGTATATGGAGGCTAAGTTCGGTGTCAGTGGGCTCTAGCACAAGTGACTCCATTTTGGGCCTTTGGTTTTCTTTAACAATGAATTCTACAAATATGAAAAAGTCACACGTTTTGACATATGAAGTAACTTACACACGGGCATACTGCAGCAAGTTCATAAATCAATTCACTCTCTAAAAAATTTTTTTAAATGAAACCAGTAGCATGTGCCATTTGACTTTTGTAATAGCACAAAATGCTTATTTTGGAACTTTTCACAAATTTCAATGAGTATAGGTTAGCTTATACCTGATTAATATACTTTTAAATATTTGTTAAATTGTCAATATCAGTATGTTTCTAATCAGCTAAATCATTTTATATCCTCAAGGGAGATACACTTATAAAACAAAAAAGTACAAAAATTTGAATTTATAGTTCAGAAGGCACACTGATACACATTAGCTCGTTGAAATGTGTTCTTGGAGAAAGGAGACATTTTCATTCTCATTTTAGAAGTAGGTGATCATAGACGGGATAAAGAACTTGTCCAAGGTTTAGCCCTAAATCTTGGTACTCAGGTCCTCTTAATTTCAGATGCCATGCCTTTGTGTTGAGGGATTTTTCT